TATGATTCAGACGTTGGAATGTTTAAAGTTGTCCCAGAGGTTCCTAAGCCTCAGCTAATTTTTTAGATTCTTGTTTCTTCATTCTTTTCTGGTTGAATGTTTATCTCTTCCTTCGGCTCCCAATCGTTGATTTGAGTCCCAGTTTCCTTCCCTTTACTGTTCGTTCCCTGTATATTTTTCTTTATTTCACTTTGCATAGCCTTCACTTTTCCTTCCATTTTGCCACCATACTCAACTAATTCAGTGAGCATCCTGATTACCAGTGTTTTGAACTGTGCATCTGATAGATAGGCTATCTGTTTATTACTTAGTTCTATTTTTGGAGTTTTGATCTGTTCTTACATTTGGGCCATATTTCTTTGTCTCAGTGCACCTGTTATGTTGGGAGGGGCAGAGACTTAGGTATTCGCCAGGGTGGGGCAACCCAGGTCGCTGCATTGTGACGTTGTCTGTGGGTGAGGAGTCCGATGTGGAGCAATGCTACTTGCTTGGCTCTTGGCTGGCTTTCAGTCACTTCCTCCACTACCCACAAGCTAATTGGGCCCTTCTAGTGCTGTTTCATGGGTGGGTGGGTTTGTGTACATTCTAGGACCCTGTGGGTCTCTCCAATGAACTCTCCTGTGAGGCTGGGAGTTTCCCCTGCTGCCACAACCCCCACAGATTTTTATAGCCAAAAGTTTTGAGGCTTTCCCCCCTCCCACCACTGGAATCCTGGATTGCATGATCTGTCTCGCTCCCCAGCTGCTTCTCCCAGTTTATCTGCATGCAAACGTGGGACCACCTGGTCCACCAAACTACCACCGTGCTGCTCCTCTTCTCCGCCCCAGCTGCCCGTCTCTGCCCCTCCTATCAGTCTGGATGGGTGTTTCTTTTTTAACTCTTTGATTGTTGGACTTTCATACAGTTCAATTTTCTGGCAGTTCTAGTTATTTTTTGTTTTTAAATTTGTTGTTGTCCTTGTTTTGGTTGTGCAAGGAGGCAAAGTCTATCTACCTATGCCTCCATATTGGCCTATAAAAATGTTTTTAATCCTTACCTGAAGGTATGTTTATTGATATTAGAGAGAGATATGAGAGAGAAACATCCACTGGTTGCTTCTCATACATGTCTTGAGTGGGGATACAATCCTCCGCCTAGGCATGCGCCCTGACCAGACATCAAACCCACAACATTTTGGTGTCTGGGATGAGACTCAAACCAACTGAGCTGCCAGGCCAGAGCTAGAGTTCCCTTTTCTCTCTTCGTTCTGTGAGCTGTCAGTCTGTCTCCAGAGTCACAGCAGGAACCTGTGCTAGTGAGTGTAGGTGGCAGTATGGGCCTGAGAGAAGACTAAAATTTCTTGTTAATCTGTCTGTCAGTATCACTTATGTGTTAACTAGGTCTGATGAGCCTTTGCCCCAAGGCCTGCAGAAGACAGTCCATTTCTTTTCCCACTGACCTAAGTAGAGCCACTCCCACAGACTCAGAGTAGATGGAGAGGGCCTGCTGTGAAATAGTCTGTGTCTGCCACCCACTTCAATCAAAGCCTGCTTTTTGGTAACTGACCTCTGAGCCATGGAGGCCCCAGTTTTTGGTAATCACTAATAAAAATCCTTACTATGCTCCAAAGAGTCTGGGCTCCACTGTAATTCAAGAGGATCCCCTCCTAATCCCCAGGTTAAGAGGTCAGAGGTTCCAATTGGTTTCTTGTGACCTGTTTGCTGTCTTTGGGGTTGTATTCCTTAGAAATGATGTTTGACTTTCTATGCACTTTCCTCTTGCTGAACTGCACCCAAAATAAATGCCATAGGTTTCAACGTGGGAAAGTTTAGCTATTCAAACATGCACACCCTGCTGGCATTCAAATCCCCACACGTACCACACACCATTGTTTACAGTCTTTGACAGGTCTGAGAAAACACTAACTTATTTATCATTTCCAGTGGTGGTATAGAATAATGATTATTTCACCAAGCCTAATTCACAGTCTTTCATTTTCTTTTAGATCATATTACATTTGATCTAAACGTCATGTAGATATTTAGTTTCATGTCTACAAATATTGATATTCAGCCCAGGCCCTGATTTACATAAAATGATGCATCCAGTGTAGGAAAAATGAACAGTGTTTAGAAGGAAGTGGAATTAAAATCAGTCACATAAATAAAATAAAGATAGTAACATCTTGATATAGGACAACCCAGACCAAAGCAGGAAAGAATACTGGATTGGGAGCTTGGTATCTGGGTTCTAATTCCAACTCTACCACTAACTAGCAGTGGGACTTTGGGAAACATTATTAAATTTTCTCATCTGAGCTAGATCTGTGTTTTCCAAATTCACCAAAACGTAAGAATCACCTGGAGTGTCTCTTCAAAAAATAGATTCAGCCCAGCCACACTGGATTGGACTCTCAAGGGAAGGGATCGGCAAAAGACACACACACAGGGCCTGTGGGGCTCTTCTGAGGGAACGATTTGGAGAAACACTGAATTAGGTAACAAGTAAGACCTTCCCCCTCTACGGGGCTATGATAAAGCCTAGATGCTATGATTCACAATGAATAGGAAAAATGTGATAAAATTTTTTAATTCATATTTGTTAGTATTTTATAAATTCTCTATTTGTTTTTTGAAAAGTTACTGAAGTTAATCCTATGGTTTGTGTTTAATGGATCTAAGTATTCTTCAGATTCTTCTTTTCTCTTTTACCTGTTGGCAAATCAAATCTGGCCTCTCTACCTCATGGTATTATCTTAAAGATAAATGAGATCAGGAAGCGAAAGTCTGTGTTGTATTATTGTTAGTAGTAGTAGTAGTAGTACTAGTAGTAGTAAAAGAACTACCATAGGATAAACTCTGCTTTTATGAATTTGCTAGATCTGCTAGTGTCTTTGGCTTTGTTCCTTTTGGTAAATAGCCCAGGCAAATAAATAAAATACAATTATTTCTTCATTAGTTAAAATTTGTAAAAATTAGTAAAAAATTTGAGCACATATAATGTACATAGCATTATGCTGTGTTCTGACTAAAATGTTTAGAGTACCTTTCCTTCCTCCTTTTTTTTTAGCCTGGAAATCTCCCATTTAGTTATACTTTTAAATAAATAAAATGTTTTCTTATTCTCATCAATATAGTAACATATTAGGAAATTAATAATATATGTTGGGAACATTTATTTAGTTTATAGAGAATGCCTGATACACATTTCGAAGAGAATACGCCACAGCAATCTGTGGCCCACAGATTAGCTCTTGGCCAGGTGCCTTTTCCTGTTGCCTTCCCTTTCCCCATGACACATTGCCATGGGAGAGAGGAGCTATGCCAACATTCTAGTCCATGGGTTCAAATCTGAACCATAGCACAGACCTACGTAGGGAGAACTTGGCTCTGGGAATAAATAATGATGAATCACATTTGTGTAGTGCTCCACAATTAACGAAATATTTTCACACCTGTAATTTTATTTATTTCCCCAATAATCCTCTGATATAAGCAGGGAGGTCCTGTGAGATGCCCAGAGAAGGTAATGGAACCAGCACTGGAAACCAGCCTGCTGGCTCTCAGCCCAATGCCCTTTCCGTTTCCTCTATGATTCCTCTTATTCTACAAATAGGGCAGCGATGCAGAATGGGCTCTCCTACACATCTCTGCAGCAGGGGGTTGTGTTATGGAAAAGACACAAGAAGAGTGATTTGAACTAATTTTCTTAGACATTTATGCCAGCACCTATTTCAAACTCTAATAATCTTATACTCCTTCCTTCCTCTCATGTCTCTATTCTGACATGGCCTCTAAAATAGAGTTAGTATTTTCTGACTGTAGAACATAATCTCTTAGTAGAATGTTGTTAACCCATCATCTTGTTTAATACTCGGAACAATAAATACATATATTATGTCATATAAAGGTATTAAAGTCTAATGTAAGAACAGAATGGAGTATGCCCAGCAGGGAAGCAAGAATACATTAGAATTGTCTCCAATCTCCCACTTATCCTAGTGGTTCCATAACTATCTGAAGGCAGAGTGGCAGGGAGTCTCCTCACCCTCAGACAGCAGAGACCAAGAAAACTAACCTGGCTACAGGGGGATGGAACTATTCCCTGGCAGCATCCTGGAGCATCAAAGGCAAGCTCTTTGTGGAGTCAGCTGGTAATTTATGCTGAGGTTTCCAAAAAGATGTGTCAGATTCTCAAACAGGTGTTAAGTACTTGGGAGTCAGAGTGGGTAGGTGGCCACCACCTGAAAGAGGACCGGACTCCAGGTGACACATGTTAGGGAACATGGCAAGGCCCTGAAGGAATCAAGAGATCCAGTGAGGTGCACCACTCAGCTCTAGCAAATAAAAACATAGGGCACCTAGTTAAATTTGAATTCCAGGTAAACAGTGAATAATTTTTAAGTGTAAGTGTGTCCCATGCAATCAATGTATGTGCAATTCAAATTTAACTGAGCATCCGGTATTTTGTGGCAATGCTAATAGGAGCAGAATAGCTCAGAGCTTTCACAGAGCAGCACTTCAATCTTTCCTGCTCCCACTGAAGACCGATAGTTCTCACCTTCTTCTTCCACACCCTTGCCCTGAAGTCTCTGTCCCTGAGCGAGACGCAAAGGGGGGACTATGTTAAAAAATGATAGTATCTGTGATATTATTTCTAATTTATGTAATTAAAATTTACATTCATATAACACCTTTCCACAATAGAATACTGTGTGTTGTTTCTTTTTTAACATAAAATGTCATTTTATAGATAAGAGAAAAAAGTGCTTTTCTCTTCAAATAGTTCTTTTTCACAATTTGGTGACATTCGTTTTTTACAATTTGTAAAGAAGATAAATACAAAATTAATTGCGAACATGTATAGAAACTCTTCATTCTCTATATAGTAGCCTTTATTTAAAATATAAAACCAGGAATTAAAAATTAATAATATTTGTGTTGTCATGGGGAAGTATTTTTGTCTAAATCAAATAAAATTTCATTAAAAATACACAGATTGATTTCTTTTTTCCCACTCAGGTCCTGCACCCTTCTTAATTTTTTCTCATGGAAATAGTATCTATAGAATTGACCTGGAAGGAACCAATCATGACAAATTGGTGACAGATGCTGGCGTGTCAGTGATCATGGATTTTCATTACAACAAAGAAAGAATCTATTGGGTAGATCTAGAAAAACAACTTTTGCAAAGAGTTTTTCTGAATGGGACAAGGCAAGAGGTAAAGTACCGATTCTCAAAGTATTTGAGGAACTTTTGTATAAGCTGACACACATCATAATAGTTAATTAGTAATATATAGATAAACAAAAATTACATTATAATTTGAATGTGTGTGTGGCATTTGTAGGTATATATTTAATCTGCATCTGTGGCATGTTACTGAATAAGCCCAAGAATGTGCTATTCATGGGCTCAGTATTGATATTCAGAAGCTCCCAAAACTAAAAAGTGAGGATGACTATGTAATTTTGAAAATATGTCAGTTTATTAAGACAGATCACCATTTTATAGTTAAAGCAGATTATTTACATGACTATTTTTTACTCCCATGGTTCTCAGTTGGGGAAAATTTTGGCCCTCAGGTGATATTTGGCAATGTCTGATAACATTTCCAGTTGTCACAACTGACCTGGGGAGGAGGGAGGATGTGCTACTGGCACCTGGTGGGCAGAGGCCAGGGAGGATGTGGTGCAGGACAGAGCCACGACAAAGAATTAGCCAGCCCCAAATGCCAGTCGTACTGAGGTGGAGAAACCGTGCTTTATATACCTACAATAGCTGTAGCGGGCTTTGGCACCTGATATTTAGGAGGAAAAACTTTTTTCTTTGTATTCTCAAGTTATTTGCACTCTGAAAAAAATAACAAAGCAGATAGATATAAAATATTTTGCTTCAAGTACATATAAAAGTTCTTTAATCTTTCTTTTTAACTGGTAGAACACTTAAATAAGTCCCAGAAGGAATGTTCTTTCTATTCCTGGGAGATAGATTACTAACAGCACATGACTAGGGAAACCTTAAGCATTTATTCCCAGAACAAAGTGCCCACTGTTTTGGTTTTTTTTTTTTAACCAAACCTTCTCTTTTCAATTATTCTTAAAAGCTTCAATTAGTTGCTAATCTGTTTTATCACATCTTTAATATTTGCTAATGTCACTTTTAACAAGGATGGTTACTCATTACTTTCCAGCCATCTGTAGAATTGTTTCAAAATTTTAAGTCTAAGAATCTGGAGGGTTTCCTATCACAGAATAGGAAAAAATGTTAAACAGTTGTGAATTTATGTCAAGCCATTAGGAAAAGATTGGCCTGATGCCTAAAATTCACTATGATATTCCCACCTTTGAGTTAAAACTTTGTTTATAAAGGACAACCATTAAAATGTAAACAATTTACTTGGGTGAACTCTATATTAATATATGAGCAATTGGCTCAATGGATTGCCCAGATTACTGTTTTTGAGATGTAGGCACAGTACAAGCTCATGAGAATGTTAGATCTCTGCCCAAATGTGTTCAGAATGGTCAGGTCAGTAGCTGGAGATCAGCAATGATGGGAATATTTACACCACGGATATCTGCAACCGTACAAATTGGGGCTTCGCCCCTCTTCCCACCCTTGCACCCCCAAGAGACCAGTTTACCTGCACACAAAGGTTTTTGTTGGGTTGTTTTCAAATGAGAGAGCAAGAAACTCTGCCCAAGAGACATAAAGAGAAGCCTTGTTTTTCAGGTCATAGGGTCATAGTGCAAGAGCACTGGGGATTGTAGAAAGGAGGGGGCCTGATGGAGAAGGAGTGGCCAGAAGAAAAGTGGGGTCCTAATGAAAAATTCATCTACATCAGACTCTGTGCACAGACTCCAAGGGAATCTTGCCAGAATTTGGTAAAGCTTGGAATTGGATTCAGGCAAGAATCTTGAAAAATTCCATTAGCAAGTGAAATTACATAAACTTTTTAAGGTAGCATTGAAATTCCACTGTTACTATAGTTGAAGTTAATGCATTATGGTTGATTGCCTAATTTTAATAAGTAGAGCATTACTTTCCACTTCAAAGCAATGCTATTAATACTATGCCCAGAAGTATTCACATGGGAGGGTCAACATCGCTGCCTCCAAACAACGGCGCTATAGCTGTGCTTATTTTACCATTAAAACAATTTTGTGAATGTACAATAGTGTTAAGTGGTTAAAAGAATAGGCTTTTATAGAAACAATTTCATTGTGAATGGGGAAATATTAATAACAATTTTGAAATTTGATTTTTACAGAGAGTATTCAATGTAGAGAAAAATGTTTCAGGAATGGCAATTAATTGGATAAATGAAGAAATTATTTGGTCAAATCAACAGGAAGGAATCATTACAGTAACAGATATGAAAGGAAACAATTCCCGTGTTCTCTTAAGCACCTTAAAATATCCTGCAGACGTAGCAGTTGATCCAGTAGAAAGGTAAATTCTGCTGTTTTCTGATGAAAACTCATAGAATCTCAACATTTGACTCAAAGGGACCTTCTTATTGAGACCAAGGCCCTCTTTTATAGTAGAAGAAGACCCTTTCCATTCTGACGCCGGCCTGAATGTGAACCACAGCAGACTCCCTGACTAGCATGGCTCCCTACTGTAGAAGCATAATTCTCCTCTTACTTGAAATCACATGGAAAATCTATAATAGAGCAATAAGTATTTGTTAAATTGAATTTTCATTCAAAATAGTCAAACCTGTCCTGTGTAGACATCTGGGGACTTCGGGAACACTGAGAGAGTTGGCCACTCAAGTGACCTTACATTCAATTTTGTATAATTAATGTGTTTGCCCACAGGTTCGTATTTTGGTCTTCAGAGGTGGCTGGCAGGCTTCACAGAGCAGATCTCAGTGGTGCTGAAGTAAAGATTCTGCTAGAAACATCAGAGAAAATAGCAGCCATGTCTTTGGATGTGCTTGATAAACGGCTCTTTTGGATTCAGTACAGCAGAGAAGGAGGAAATTCTCGTATTTGTTCGTGTGATTATGGTGGAGGTTCTATCCATTTCAGCAAACATCTTGCACAGTAAGTTTTGGTTCCAGTGTAAAATAAAACAATCGCCGTTTAAAGTTTGCATGATAAGTTAATTGTACTTTTCCCAGTTAAACCAATATAGAGGTTTAATAGAGATTTTGGAGCCTTGAGTTCAAGTTCCAGATTTACCATCTATTACACAAGTCACTTTGGGCAGGTTACATGACTTCGCTTATCCTCAGTTTCCTTTAATATGAGGATAATAATAGTACCTATTTCTTGGGGTTATTGCAAAAGTAAGTAAACAAATAAAAATAACTAACCGAGTATTTGGCATGTAATAAATTTTCACGGGCTGGTTATAGTTAATTTCTTGGAATTATTACATCATGCATATGTGAAGTCATACACATTTGATTTGTTATCTTGCCAGTAACCAACTCTCCAGCTTTTGGCAAGAGGCAGAAATTAGTCCTGTGTGAAACAGACAAAACCACAAGTCTTGTCCTGTTCCTATTTTCTTCCCTATTTTATGTCCATCACACTTATTTGCTGATTAGCAAAAGAATGAGATAATGAATCGAGCTAGAAATTATATCCTATTACCTCAGATTATGATTACATAAAATGTTAAACTTAGTACTTGTTTCTAAACCTAAAAACCCCCCAAACAATCAGGTAAGTGATTAAAATTGAGCCGATAAATTGAAATGAAGTGAAACTTTAATAAGGCCAGAAAGAAATATTTTGCTCTACTTTATGTTTTTTAGGCACACTTTATTTTCAATGTCCCTTTTTGGTGACCGTATCTTCTATTCAACATGGAGAAAGAAGACAATTTGGATAGCTAACAAACACACTGGGAAGAATATGGTTAGAATTAACCTCAACTCATCATTTGCACCACCTGGTGGAATTAAAGTAGTGCACCCATTCGTACAGCCCAAGGTGGAGCGTGATCCTTGGGCGTCTGGTGAGTCATCTTGGACCTCGAACAGGATCTGGCACTTAATTGCCTCTGTCCACTTGCTCAAGCCAGACACTGTGGGGTTATCCTTGATTTCTTCCACTGCCTCATCCCCATTTTGCCATCTACCGCCAAGTCCTTTCCATCACTTTCTCTCCTCCACTGCTGCCATCACAGTCCGGACAACCAGCAGCATTTTTGGCCTACTGTAGTAGCCATTCATCAGATAATCCTTCTCTTTTCCTCTTTTGCCTTTAAATAGTTAATCATAACCACTAGCTTTCTGCTTAAAATCTTTCAAAATCTTCCCTTTGCATTTAGATTGAAATGTAATCTTTTGCCAAGCCTATCAATATTTGACCGCCCGCATCTAGTCCTCCTTCTCCTCCTCCTCTGGCTGGACTGCAAGACGGGCCTTCTGTAGCTCCTCAGAATGCCCCGTTCTGCCGTGCCTTTATGCTTCTGCAGTCACTCTTCTCTCTGCCTGCACTTCTCTTCAGCTCTGAGCTTAAAAGTAATGTCCTCAGATAACCTTCCCTGGGCATCCAACCAAAGCGGGACCCTCACCTCCTATTTTTCTTTCAGTACACCCTTCACTGAACTCATTGCGAGGTATAATTACATATTACTTTGTTTTCTTTTTTATTTTCCTTACACTTGATTATAAATGCCATGTAGGCAGGGACCATGTTCGTTATTTATTTGTTTGTTTATACCACCCTATATTCAGTGGTCATGTATTTATTTATTTATAAATCATTTTAGATAATGTTAGTAAAATGAGTGGATGGCCTGAATCTAGTCACAGTCCCAAATTTCTCTTTCTCTCACTCACACACTCACACCTTTCCCCCGGCTGTCAGAAAGCTGGCGCAGAATTGATCTCACACTTGGTTGGCATGGTTACACTGATTAGGCAGCGGTGCTCTCCTGGCTGCCTTGACACAGACTATCCTGTGAATTTCAGAGCCAGTGCGAGTACTTTTTTTAATGCAATCTGAATGACATTACTTCAAGCTCAGCTTTTGGTGATGTTACAGTTAGTTTTACTGTATACAAACTTTTTTTTAAAGGTACAAATATTTTTGCTTTCTTCTATATTTCTTTAAATGTAGACTCCAGTTTTAAGCTAATAGGAGAGTTTGAAAGCATATCCTTTGGAAAATGGAAAGTATTTCTCCTCAACATGGGTACAAAATATTTCACATTCATTTTATGTGCAAAATATTGCTGAATTTCCTTAATTCTGAGAGTTCATGAAGGAGAACTTCCTTCTCCTAGAAATGGACCTGTTTTCGGAAGTGACTAGTGTAGTACAACTGCCCAGGCAAGATTCTGATTTATTTTGATTATGTTATTGCTGGCGTGTCTGCTGTTAAACCCTTGGTTACTTGGAAAAGAATCTTCCTAGATATGTGAACATTTTTTCCATATAATTTTATTCAATTTTTTATTGTGGTAAAATACATATAACATAAAATGTATCATCTTAGCCACTTTAAGTGTACAGTTAGTGGCATGATGTATATTCCCATTGCTACGCAACTATCACCACCATCCATCTCTGTAACTCTTTCCATCTGGTAAAACTGAAAGCCCATGTCCATTTAACTATAATGTCTCCCAGCCCCTGGCAACCCCATTCCACTTTCTATCTTTATGATTTTGACTACCCTAAATACCTCACACAGCGGAATCACACAGCATTTGTCTTTTGTAACTGGCTAATTTCCTTTAGCCTGATGTCCTCAAGGTTCAACCATGTTGTAGCGCATGTCAGAATTTTCTTACTCTTCAAGGAATAATACACTATGTTATGCATATACCACAGTTTACTAGTTGATTTATCTGTTGATGAATACTTGGGTTGCTTCCATGTTTAGCTATTGTGAATAATGTTTCTATGAACATGTGCATGTAGTGGCTGAAGCTTGTTCCATTTGTGAAGTTCAAGATTCATCAGCAGTTCTGATCCATTCATTTGAGACCCTGCTCTCAATTCCTTTGAAGTTAATTTCAAGATCATATAACACTTCTGTTTTTAATTTTTTGAGAAATTTCCATACTTACAGTGGCTGTGCCATTTTTCATTCCCACCAACAGGACACAGGATTCCAGTTCTTCTGTTTTTATATAATTAAAATTTATCAATTCTAACTCTCAAAGCTTTTTATTTTTCATAGAAATTTTAGCAAAATATGGATTGCTATATATTTCTAACGTATTATAGATAGTTATTGACATTTTCTTAATGACTAGGGTCACATTTATAAAGACACATGTCACTGGGGCAAGCATAGGACTGGTTTGAGGCAAAGCTGGATTTTTAATGCAGGTTTGCTCTGACACCAAACGGCTGCCACTTGAAATGCCTTTTCAACGGTAGGAATGGCTCTTTATCATTTTTCTATTTTCTTTCTTGCAGCCAGCTTTCTTGCTGGTTTTCACATGCCCAGCTGTGACCTCACTTTATCTTCTAATCCAAGGCTTTTTCTTGCCATTTGTTTATTGAGGAAACCAGATCCTTTGTTTTGTAAAATTGTTCACATTCTGGATTTTGCAGATTATATCGCCATGGTGTCATTTAATGTGATTCTGTATTTCCCTGAACAGGTAGTTTAGGCCTAGAAGCCTGGTCAGGTTCAGACTTTTTTTGCAAGAATATTGAATAGGTGCTACTGCAGGCAGTATTATATGCTTCCTACTGACCACCCCAGGGGGGCGGCGGGGGGGCGGCCAGGGGCATGCAGTGGCTGGTTCTTGTTCTTTTGCGATGTTTAAGATTCCTCAGCAGTTCTGGTATTGCCAACCTGGTCCATCCATTGCAAAGTTTCCCATCAGCCTTTTGCACAATGGCTTTAGAAGCTGTTATTTATCATTGCCTGCAGCCATTTTTTGGTTACTGGTTCAAAGTCAGGACATTCAAGTCTATCATCACTTATGTGTTTATTAGCTGAACAAATTATTTCTCAGATTTTGACTGTACTTTTTTTCCATTATTATTTATCCCTCTTATGCCCTCTTCCACCTCCTCCCATCCCCCGCCCCCTGCCACCTCTGCAATCACCGCACTGTTGTCCATTTCCATGAGTCCTTTTCCTTTTGTTGCTCGGTCCCCCATCCCCGAACCCACTGCCCCATCCCCCACCTCCGCCCAGAGCTGTCAGCCTCTCTCTCTCTCTATTTTGCTTGTTAGTTCATGTAAATACCATGTAAAATCACATGGTATTTGTCTTCCTCGGACCGGCTTATTTTACTTAGCATAATGTTCTCCAGGTCCATCCATACTGTAGCAATGGGTAAAGTTTTCTCCTTTTTCACAGCCAGTAGTATTCCATTGTATATGGAATAAAATCCATATTGCCTTTCTTATGCATGTCCCATAGTTGTTTTATCCACTCATGTACTGATGGGCACTTGGGCTGCTTCCAATCTTGGCTATTGTATAGAACACTGCAATGAACATAGGAGAGCTTATATTCTTTTGAATTAGTGTTTTGGGTTTCCTTGGATAAATTCCCAGAGGTGAAATTGCTGGGTCATAAGGTAGTTCCAGTTTTAATTTTTTGAGGTTACTGTGTACTGCTTTCCACAGTGGCTGCACCAATCTGCATTCCCACCAACACTGCAGAAGGGATACCCTTCCTCCACATCCTTGCCAGCACTTGTTTGTTGATTTATTGGTGACAGCCATTGTGACTGGTGCGAGGTGCTATCTCATTGTGATTTTAATTTACATTTCTCCAATGATTAGCGATGTTGAGCATCTTTTCATATGTCTATGGATCATCTGTATGTCTTCTTTTTTGGAAAAGTGTGTATTCAGGTCCTTTGCCCAATTTTCAATTGGATTGTTTGGTTTTTTGGTGTTGAGTTTTACACATTTTTTAAGTTTTGGATATTAACCCCTTAACAGATGTGTCAGCAAATATGTTCTCCCATTGAAGAAATTTTTTTCACATTAGCTATATGAGGAAAATCTTTTATAAGAAAGGCAAATGCTTGGTTTTTCCCCCTAATTTATCTCTTTTCAGAATAAACATTAATATAGACTCCAATGGTGATCTTTTTCAAAGCATCTTTACAAACTCATGGATTTAAAAATATCTGACATGTTTTATTTCATTGCAGTTATTATAATTTGGACACTCAAATTGTACTGTCTCTGTCTAGGAGGATCCCTGATTTGAGGCTTCCAGTCTTCATGGGAGAGACGGAAGTCACGGGGGGAGTTCATCTCGCCGGCACTCTCCCTGTAACTGCCCTGGGAGGTCTGGGAGCCAGGCTGAGGCTATGTCTGGGGTCAGCAAGAAAGACCATTAGAACCATGTAGCCACTTCTGCTGTCAGGGAATGCAGTGGTTTTGGGGGTGACAACAATGGGAGTGAAGGATACACACCTTGCATTTTTATTTTGATGCTATAGGCTGGCCAAACTTGTCAGAAACCGGTATAAAATATAAATGACTGAGTGGGTCTGAGGGGCTCTTCTGAGAGTAAAAAGCATTGTTTTGACCTCTTGGAGGCTGTTGATTTGTTTATTCTCTGAGTTTTAGAGAGGTTTAGATGATTAAGGATACTAAGTAGATGAATTTGGGCTGAGTGATTTTTTTAAAACTGTAATTAGGATAGATTTCCACAAAATGACCGTACTTGTATTTTCTTCCTTGTTATTTTCTATTAACAGAAAAGAATAAATTTTTATATTATACAGTTTGGGAAGTTTTTTGAGGAAGTCATTTATTTATGAACTCGCTGAGAAAGACAATAAATAAGTCAAAAATATACCTGGGTTTTATAGGAAAATATATTTTTATATGTATAATAATTTCTGTATTTATATATTATATATAATACATTGTATATAATATATAAGGTCTGTCCAGAAGGTATCTAGCCATGTAATATAAAAAAATAGAGACATTTATTGAAGGAGATACAAGATGCAAGAAATATTGTACATAGGACAATGATGACTCAGTCCCTTCAAAGTAGACACCTTGGGGC